ACACACACACACACACATACACACCCCTCTTTCCCTGGCCTTTCTTACGAGGGGGGGTTCAAGAAGTCTTTCGTCTAAATATGAAGGAATAAAGATAGAGCTTTTTAACTTGGCACACATACTTTCATTTCTCTACAAAGTTACCATGCAGGGTAACATATTTCTGCCACCTCTCTTTGACCTTCAAAAATCCTTGATAAAAACAATGACCCAGGATGGACCCTTAACCAGTCTCCCACACCTTCAATGGCGTCCTCGTCATGAAAATGACTTCCTTTCAGTGGTTTTTTAAAGATTAGGAAACAGAAAAAATGTCTGGTGAATAAGCTGGGTGTAGCAGGATTTCAAAGCGGCACTGTTTTGCTGTTTGGACTGTTTGTTGTGCCCTGAGCGCAGGGGCGTTGTCAGGCAGGAGGAGGACCCCATTACGGAGTTTTCCACGTATTTTTCTCACAAGCTCGGACCGCAGTTTTATTGTAGTCCCCGGTGACTGTTTTTTCCATTTCCAGGTTGTCAGTCATGATGATACCTTCACAATCCCAGAAACACGACAGCATGACCTTTCCACTTGACGGTGTTTCCTTTATCTTCTATGGTGAGGGAGAAGAAGGGGTTTTCCATTGCATGGAGGACATTTTTTTGTTCTGGATGAAAATGATACATCCATGGTTCATCCATAGTCACTATGTTGTAAAGACATTTGGGTCATTGGACTCAATTTGAAGGAGAGTTTTGCAGGACTCAAACCTCTGCTTCTTTTGCTCACTTGTCAAAAGGCGGGGCACCCACCGCGCAGACGCCTTATTCATGTTAAAATGGTTATTGGCAATAGTTTCAACTGACCCTACACTCATTCCCGTTTCCCTTAATTGTTGTTTAACAGTTATACGTCGGTCTTGTAAAACCATTTTCTTCACTAGATGCATTCTCTTCATTTACCCCAAAGGATGGGCGCCCTTCACGATCTTCATCCATCCCCGACATGAATCCAGATTTGAATTTTATTACTCAGTATGCCACAGTATTATAACGAGGACATTTGTCACCATAAACCTGGACCATTTCCTGAAAAATTTCCGAAGAGGATTTTCCTTCCAACTTCATTGCAAGTGTTAAAACTTGATAACTGAGCGATATTCAACAGGTTCCATAGCACAGGTTCAGCAAAGAAAAACCAAACATTTTTGTGCATGGTTTCATTGAACACGCTGCCTAGTGCCTTATTATAGTCGGATTTCCGAAGAAATTGTCTAAAGGCTGGGGAAATTACATTACTCAATCGTTATTCCTCCATGCCCAGCCCAAAGACCTATTGAACTCTCCTCGTACATCTTTCCTTTCTCATTTTCTGGCATATCAATTACTTTTCACAGTTCTCTTACGCTTGTATTCTTTTGCTTCGATTTTTCCTCTCGAAATTTAGCGGCATATTTTACAATACAAATACCAAAATAGCGGCAAATGACATGCAAATTTTTTTTTAAAAATCACAGTACTTTAACCTACTTCTATTTGTAGTGCAAGCGTATGCCCGATGTCATACTTGTAGTACATAATAAAAGGTAAAGGGATGTACATATAGTGTAATGAGCTTAAACGGAACGTAAAGTAAAGGTCTAGTACATGTTGGCACAGGGTGTTATGGTTAAGTACTGTTGGTACACGAAAAGAGGGGTTACAAGACAAACAAAGACAATTACTAAAATTTCAATTTAAGCCTCTGATTTTAAAAGTATATGTTTGAAGCCCCCATCCACACTATTTAGATCACTTAAGATCTGGGCTGCTTTGATTTCGTCTGTCAGGGCAAACCCCGGCAGAGAGGGATACAACATTCTAGTAGAAAGACTCAGATACTGGATTGAAGTTCGCCCCTCACGGGATTCGAATTCACGTCTTCTGCATGCCACGGCCAAGCGCCTAACTTTAGCAACTCATGCACTGGTAACTTAAAACCCAATAAACACCAGCGATCCAATACACACAGAACTTGAATCTCGGGTATTACGTTTCATAAACATTGGATATACATGACTCAAGTGAGCTATTTTGGAAAAAGTAACTCGAACCAACAAAAACTTTTCCCTCATACCCTGGCTAAAGGCAATGTCCGCAATCGGAACATTTTTTGTAAAGTGTTTTACGGCGCTCGCAACTGCATAAGGTCATATGAACGCGCGGAACACACCTGATATTTTCAGTTGGTAGGAAATTTTGGATTTTGCCCGTGTGGCGGCCGAAGCCTACTCTTATCGATTTTAGACAACCAAGGGATCTTTAACGTGCGCAACTCGCAATCGGAAAGAGGACACAGAGCGTTCAGAGTTGAAAATAAAAACCTTCAATAAAACACTAAAAGATCTATTACTTCTTGTTTGCTCTGGGGCAACCTCGAGAATGGAAATTATCAGACACGACGCAGGGCGTTATTTTGAGGCTCTACGCAAAAGAAAATGAAAGTTTGCCCAAATTATAACGAAATGTAGATTACGACCGTATATTGATGATTCTAAGAAAACAGAAATAGATGTGTGCATGCGTGCGGGTGTGCGTGTGTGTGCGTGTGTGTGCGTGTGTGTACGTGACTATGTGTGTACGTGCATATTATGTGTGTGTGTGTGTGTGTG